TTCCTGAAAAAGGCTGACAGTTTCATCACTTGGGGATCGGTCAGAGTTTGCCGGTGTTGCAAGTGTTGCCGGTGTTGCAAGTGTTGCCGGTGTTGAAAGTGTTGACGGTGTTGCAAGTGTTGACGGTGTTGAAAGTGTTGACGGTGTTGCAAGTGTTGACGGTGTTGCAAGTGTTGACGGTGTTGCAAGTGTTGACGGTGTTGCAAGTGTTGACGGTGTTGCAAGTGTTGACGGTGTTGCAAGTGTTGAAAGTGATTCTCATTCTTTCTCGACCGACCTTGCCAGTTGCTGTACGTGTTTTGCTTACTATCTGCAGAAGCTCCGGATTTGACACCGAACAGGCATTACTCATCAGATTTTAACATCGTTCTCAAACAATGGAGATTGCCTATGTAGAACAAGTGCTCAACTTGTTCACTTTCAACACTTTCAACACTGTCAACACTTGCAACACCGTCAACACTTTCAACACTTTCAACACCGGCAACACTTTCAACACTTGCAACACCGTCAACACTTTCAACACCGTCAACATGCAACACCGTCAACACTTTCAACACCGGCAACACTTGCAACACCGGCAATCTCTGACCGATCCCTTGGTTAAAACTTCAAAACATGATAGATGCATGTTTACCAAATTAAAACTCCGAATGATTCATCTGCAACCTGCTCTATCAAAAACCAACCTCCGATTTCGGCATTCCCAAGTGCTTATCCCTTCTCCATTCCTTATAAAAGATGCATACTCCATCACGATTGAATAAGTAGAAATTGAATATAGTCATACACTCGAAATAAAAAGAAATGGGATGGAACTCCTATCAGTACGACAGGATCAAAAGCAGAAGTCGGATGGGTGCCAAATTTGACGTAGCCGTCAGAAAAACAAAAAGCGCGCTTTGTCCGAATTTTCACGCAGACTCAATTTGACGTCTAAAAAATAGTTGCCATGACGATGAATTTAATCGGTGGTTGAATAATTGGAAATAGGTGGGTTGGCACACGCTCCCTGCCCCGAAGTATATGTGTGCCAAGTTTGGTCCCGATCGATTCAGAAATAAAAATTTCTATTCCGCACATACGTACAGACATACATACAGACAGACATATGATCGTCTCCACGATTCGTGTAGAGGTGTATTGCAGACTTTGCCTGATAACACAGGTAAACTTGTTGAACCTCCACGTCATAGCATTGTTTTTTGTACTCTCTCGCTATCAAAAACCGCCACGCTTTGAGTTGGCAAAACCCCGCCTCTACACGAATCGTGGAGCCGATGATACATACAGACAGACATTCAGCTTTATATATAAGATAATCCGAGGTCACGTTGGATATGGCACTCAAAATCTCAGTTTCTCAACGGGTTATCTGACATGCCGATCAAAAATAATCCTCCCGTATGAAAATGCTTTCGTGTATGGTTACGGTGTGTACAGACAGGGGTCAAAATCACAGATCTGGCTGAAGCATTGTCCATAGGGTTAACACATTACACGTGCATGGGTCAAATTTCCATCCTTCTGTGATTTGTAGGCCTTTAGCGGTTTACCATGGGATGACCTCATGCATCCCATGATCGTTTACTCAAAGTAGTTTTGCCGCATCCTTCTTCGCCAGCTTGGCTCTAAGTAAAGCACCTAATTTAAGATTTTTCGTACAAGCATGGCATATTTATTGGGCCTTCACTTTCCAAAGAGGAGCGGGATAAGATAGGATTGCGAAATTTTAGAGGTAGTGTATTTCGTATTTCGTAATAATGTTGTTAATCCAAAAGTTGAGGGTCGCAGTAGCATTAGATCAGCTCCTTCAAGTCATAGTTTCTCTAGCAACTCCTGATTCCTGGAGCCACTAATAAATCTTCGGAAGGGGAGAGTTCATTGCTCTGATGAAACATCAAGGGCGGTATCATTCCTTCTCTGACTAAGAAACACGAGCACGCTTTGGGTAGTCTGATTAACATGTTCATGAGTGTGTTCTAACGCGTTTCGGATGATTTAGTTCCAGGATTCGTCAGGAATATGTTCGAGCATGTTGAACAGCGCGAGTTCGAACTTGTTCTTGCACAGAACGCGTTAAAAGGCACTCGAAAACATGTTAATCAGACGTGCACAAAGCGTGCTCATATCTCTTGGCGAATGAATGATATGTATAGATCTCAGTTTTGAGACCGGGCTGTCATTTTCTTTTGAGAACGATCACCCGGCCGGGAAGGGACGCCCGACCCGCGAAATATGAAACTCGCGGACGCCCAACCCGGACGGGCAACAGCACCCACCTCCCGAGATCGGGTTCTGCTTGCCATTCGTCAACTGACGCGCCCCAATCTCTTTATGCAGTGCTTTTCTTTGATATTTTACGCTTACTGGAGTACCACTCCGCTACACGATATCTAAGCACGATTTTGGAAAAATGGTGAGTCTTTCTTTTGTTTCTTCCTCTCCCCTCCCTTCTTACTGAGTTCCGGGGAGGGCTTACTTGTTTCTTCCACTCCGTCTAAAGGAAGGAACGAAACGAAGAACGCGCTTCTAGATGTTTTCATCCAACACTATGGTGTACGCACTCTTTCTAGTTTTCACGATCACTTCTGTCTTAAGCTGTTATCTATCATGACACTGTTGCCTTCCATTCGGTTTGTAGCTGTGTATGCTTAAAATTGCCGGTGCTGACCAAGATTGCTTGCAAGAGTTCGCGCAGTTGTTTCAAGATCCCTCCCCGTTACGCACTCAATAAAATCTAGGAGTTGCTGAGCTTGATCAAAGCCGAGTTCACACCAGTTCTTTCAGTTGTACTAGGGAAAGATATTATTATAAATTGTGTATATTTCTGTGCTAAGATATTATGGTTAGCAACTTTTGTATCATAGCATGCATAGGCGATTTAGTGCACGCAAAGACAAGGCGTCGTAACGGACGCCGTCGGCGGCTCGCTTATTGAGGGCTCTTCCACCCCTCTTGGCGCCTGCTGTCCCTCTCATGCACAAATTACCTTAGTTGGACGCAACCGCGTGCAATAAATCTCCTACAGTGTTGATGTGCCTTCTTTTTTGTGTGGAGCAAGTTTGGGAATCGGCATCAACTGAGCACCTGCTGTAAACTGGATTCATACTGCAGAAAGCGACCGTTGTTTATTTATATTGTAAAGTTGCAGGGCTTCTGTGATCCTTCTGTTGTCGTATGTTGTGTTTATCTAGTCTTTTGGTCGATTCGTATGCGTATATTTGGTGTTTCAATGCTTTTGCTACGTTTTGGTTGATTCGTGTTGGGGCCACGCGATCAGGCGCCTGCACATCCTCTCGAGCCGATTATAAGGCGGCTCCGCTTGGCTCAAATTACTTTTTGTCTTCGTGTCACTTTGAGTGCGGTTGATCAATCGAGGAGCTAAGCCGAGGAGGACGCAGACGCTGATCGCCTGGAGGATGTCATTTCAATAAAGGATTTCAACTTACCCCTGGACACTACGCCGAGCCCCCGCGATAGCGCCTAACCTAGGCCAACAGTTGCGTAACAATTTTGTTATTTTTGGCTAAAAGTTGAAGGAAAAATGTATATTATCTACACTCTAGCTAAGACTTTCTCAGTTACATAAGATTAGGTACCTACGCGTAGTCGAGAAGGAGAACAACACAAGAATGTAGATACTGGATAACACGTTGAAGATGAAGTCATTGCTAAGCTATGAAAGCAAGGAAACGAGTGTAGGTCAATTTGGCAATCGTTTGAGTTTTTGGAGTTCATAGATATAATTTGTTAGTTTCACATCTTCCGAAACGCTACCTTACCAGCCTCCAATTTATCATTGCGAAGAGACTTTTACTGAAAAATTTCAGCTCCTTTGACTATGCGACTACTGTAAGGAAGAAGGAGCGTTTTGATCAACTAGATTATCGGATAACTTGACCTACGCGCGCCAAAAGTGCTTGTCGATTGTTTTTGTTCAGTAGTTCTTGGTTGGTGTCGACAGGGAGCGGCGGTGGCCGCATTATTTCCATTTTTTGTTCGTTTTTTTGTCTGTCTTACCTTGTACTGCCAACAAAGCAGACTCTGTTCTTTCCGTGTTGCCTTTTTGTTATTTTCGCTAATAAAGTTTCGTTGTTCTGTGGAAAAATCCCTCCACCCACGTGGCCCTCCACCAAAACATATTTTTTTACACTACAACATTTAGAAAGTTACACTAAATAGAATATTAGAAACTCTTTTACAACTTCTTCGTTTTTCCGCAAAAATTCTCCAAATGTTTCCGCATTTTTTTTTTCATTTATGTGGAGGAACCTTGAATGATTGGCCATAGAATTTTTTGGGTTGAGTTTTTTAAAATGTTTTTCTAACTGTATTTCGGCCTTGCACCCGCGCATCACTCCCCATTCCAAGATCGCTTTTCGATAACTGATATATGCAGACAACGTTGAGCAAGATTACTCTAATTCACTGTGGAAATCCAAAATATACATGACTGCAGTCGGTGTCGTAAAGCCAATGTTGAAGCCTGCTTCAGCATTTGCACCGACACACCGGATTCAAGCCATAGAGGCTAGATCAGAACATGAAGAGGAAGAAGAAGGGAACCTGGTGGAAAGGGAAGAAGAGGGAGATGTATCGGACGTGGTGGGAGGACAATCAGAAAAATGCCAGGTTCCCGGAATGGGCGATGTCTTTTTAAAGTTTAATGAAATCGCTTTCGAAAGAGATTTCCGTTTAGCAAAGAGTTTTCTACAAATTTGTGATATGGTCAAGAACAATCTTGGACGATCAAGGTATCCGCAGCCCTATCAATCTTCCAGCAAGTTGCGACATGTCTGAACTTCTGGGGAGAAACAATAAACAAAGAGACTAGGCGCGTATGGTCGGTCGCGATCAGTCCACGTCAGAGCCGAATTCCACAAAGTTTGTTAAGTAAGGCAATTTGTTTACATGCTGCTCAGTATGTGTACTGGCTAGGAAAAGAGAGTAAAGACGCATAAGTGGGGACGTGTTCAGGTCCCACAATCTACCAAACACTGTAGGTTTACTCGATGGGACGCAAGTGCGAAAAATTGCACCTTATGAAGATGAGGCCGATTACATCATTCGGAAACAATACTTTTTGATAAACGTCGGCCTTATATGTGAAGACAAGTTGAGATTCCGGTGGATCAATGCGTCGTTCCTTGGATCGGCGCATGCTAATCGGGTGCTTCGGGAATTTCGATTATATTAGGCTATAAAAGATGGTCAGAATTTGGCCGCTCAATAGGCAATTCAGCTTATGCCGCTGAGTCGTTTCTGATAAAGGTTGTCGAAAACCCTTCTACTCAAGCAGGTAGAACTTACTCTCATTAAAAGCATGTAATAAAACTTCTCGTCAGAAAATTAGTACAACCGCGCGATATGCGCAGCTCGCTCCCATATTGAACGAGTCATCAGGCTTTTCAAGGATTAATGGAAGATAGTGGGAGAAAAATGCCGGTAAGATTTCCTCTATCTTGCAGATGAAAAATTGTTGACTCGCAGATATAAACCGGCAATGGCAACAAAAATCATTGTTGCCTGTGTCATCCTCCGGAACATCTATAGGATTTAATGAAATCACGGAGGAGTTCGAACTGGTAGAGCCGGAGCACATAGATTAAAGTTGAAGAAGGGCCATAAGGGTACTTTGACTGGGAGAGCCCTAATCGTCGGATTGTTATAGACAGTTTGATGCGATATTTTTTTTCTGAGTGTCTTAGCTTATCTTTGTCAAAAATAAAATAAGAATTTCACTGTCACTGGAAGTCTCTTCATAGTAAGACATGTGAAAAATGATACTCGAAAAGCTTCAAATGCAAGAAGGATTATGGAAAGCATTTTCGTACACATTCTCAATGAATACCACTTTACTAGTCGGGCATTTATCGCGTTCTCTTGATTAGAGGGGAAGATGCAGT